AAAAGGTTAATCATATGGAAGGCTCTGATTCTGCAACATATCTAAGAGCATGTAAATCCTACTTATGTGAGTTTTCTTGCCTTTATCAATACCATTACTAGTACTTTTCATTCTGTACATGCTGTAGGTGCCCTGCTAAATAAAGCTTAGTTCTCTGTGTGCTGCTGGATTAATGCAAAGAAGATACATGAGAGTAAGAGTTGATTACTCTCAACACTTAAAAGCCTATTTTCTGTCTTTTTGCTTAGATAAGTTCCCGGGAAGATAACTTCTGCTTCACTTCTATGTTTTCTCTTTCCCATAAAGCTACCACTTTATTCCAGATAAATCAAGCACTTTTTTCAAGGTAATAACTAGCTATGGTTGATTTAAAAAAAATAAAAATTAAAATTAAAAAAAAAAAAAAGGCTCCAGATAAGCAGATAAAAACCAGATGAAAGGCAATATGAATAAAGAAGTGACTCAGCTGGTTTTTAAACGGTGACCACATAAATCTGCTCAAGTCATGCCATCATCAGTAATTGTTCCTTAACTTCTTTGCTTCATAAACACAACATTCATTTTTCATAGCTGCCAAAGCAATACCTCAGAAGACTTTTAGTAAATTCTCAAGGGCATCTCCCTGGTCATGGGCCTGATCCTTCCTTTGGAAAATGTCCAGTCACATCATCCAATTTTTCTGTGAGCACATATTTCTGGGAGCATAATTCCCTATTTGCAGTGTATTATCCTGCCAGGTTTAACACTGGTTTTGCATTTTAGACCCTTCTCCACAGGAAAGGATTAAAAGAACTTGAAGTCTGTTTGGCTTTTTATTCCCCTCCCAATGCTGTGAACGGCTGAAGATGACACAGCATTTAGAAAGATTATTTCCCCAGCTAATCTACAATTCACTGCAGAGGGAGGGCAATCTTTCTTAAATTAGCAAATTTAAAGCAGTTTGCTGCAGAATGTGGATGTATCAGTATCATCTGCACATTAAGCCTTTTCCTAGGCTCATTCTGTCCTCTTTGACTTCCCTGAAGCCAGCATACAAAGCATTAAGCTCCCGATTGAGCACAGATCTCAGGCCAGGGAGGACAGTTAGTCTGGCTGCCAGCCTTTGTCTTAGCATCTTCCCAAAAGAATTCTGAATTTTCTTAGTTTCTAATAAGAAAATTCTTACTGTTTTTTTCTTGACAGGCTCCTTTGATTTAACTTCTCACAGTCGTTTGGCCTCACTGCATAACTGTCTGGGGCACAGGAGATTGCTTGAAAGATACCAAACTTCACTATCTGATTCAGCAAGCAGTATATCACATAGGAATCCTCCCAAGAGATAGTGAAGAGCTAAAAATTGGTGGGCTAGAGAAGAAAGTGGAACAAATGGTTGATTCCCTGCAGGAATGAAGGAAAACATCTGAAAAGGACTATCCAGAAGGATTTGTGCTGGGAGATGTGTTCTTCCTATGCATAAATAATAAATAATATTACTTCCAGTAGGACGAACAGGCAAGTAATGAGGTGACGAAGGCTGTAGACTATACCAGATTATTTAGGAGTCAGATCTAAAGCTGCAAAAGAAACCTGAGGGACGAGGCTAAAAAGTGCAGACTGTGGGAGAACATTAAGAAACAAAGCCAACTCTTCTAACTGTATTTTGGTATGCAGTCAGATAGGCTTTAAATTGGGTATTACTAGGCAGAAAGCACATCATGTTTCCACTGCAGATACTATCCTGAAAGCATCAGAGAAATTGCTCTCTGACAGTAAAATAAGTAGAATAACAAGAACTCTGAAGAAGGGGGGGAAGAAAGAGAAACATTGTTCTACTGTAGAGTCTACAGTGTATAAGTGTCTTAAATGCTACAGATGGTTTGGGGGTCCATGACTTTCAAAGGGTTAATAAGGTGACAAAATCCTCTGAGAAGCCATAAGGATGAGCGAGGATAGCACAGGGCTCAAATAAGAACAGGCAGTGGAAAATGTTAGCTTAGAAATGTTTTGAGAGAAGAGAATGGAGGTATGGTAATATTCCTTAACTAAATGCCACTTATTCAAGGCATAAGAACCTTGGAGCACCCATTAAAATTGTCAAGGAGGAGGTTTGTAATAAGCAAAAAGGGTTTTTCCCCATTCATAAAGAGAATATTAAAAAATGATAAAACTCTTACGTCTCTCTAAAAAAATTCTATGATTCAAGGATTTTGTAGGAAAATAAAGCACAAAGAGATTTCAAAACAAGCAACAAATAAGCCAACCTAGGCAACAGGCTCTAACTGTGGCTAATAGGTCAGTTCTGACACACATTTTAATCTAACCTCTCAAAACCTTATATATAGACATACATACATATATATATATATATATATATATATACACAAGATGACAAGCAGTATAATATATATATATATTTATATATATATATATATATATATATATAAAATGTAATATCTTATATGTAATCTTCCCTTGGTCAAGACAACATTGTTTGACCTTTGGTCTCACCCAGCATAGAACCATACTTGGTAAAGACTGGGGAAAAAAAAAGAAAAAAAAAAAAAAAAGAAACTTATAAGACTGAACCCCACAAATGTTCAAAAATTTCAGTACAGCATCTGTTATATTCTGCCATCTTTTATCTATTACTCCTTGAATTTACACAGAGTATGCATAACCTATATAGAAAATAACTGAAAACTTTCTATGTTCATGAGAAATCACAGAAGAAAAATTTTTCGCTCTTAGAGAAAGAAAAGCCTGATGGAAACTTCACTTTATAACATATAGATAATATATAATACATATACAAGAGCCTTAAAAAAAAAAACTAAAATAAAATAAAAATGTGTAAGTCTTTTCTGTGGTATAGTCCACAACTAGAATTTGCTCCATGTAGAAAAACAGCCTTGATTAATGTTGTGGCTGGAGCCAGAGCCAAATGAATGATGAAGCACTTGCAGCAATAGGTTCCCCTGCATAGTCTGGAGCAATTGCTCTTCTGGCATGGTCTATAGCTATTGTTTATGAGTAAAGAAATTTTTCCGTTACTGAGGCTGAGAAGTACTCATGTAGTCGGTACATTGTAATCAGTTTAGCCTAGTAAGATTTTACCTACAGCATGGAATACTAGCATAGTAAAACTGGCATTGTCAACCTTCTGTGCAGCAGAACGGAAATATTCAGTTACTCTGAATTATCTTTTTCAGGCTACAGTGCTAGAAAGGAAACCATCAAGTTGAAGCCAACGTGGAAGAGGACGTTCCAGCATCCAGACCCTTCTTCCCCAGCCAAGCCCAGCTGGCATTGCTATACAACACAGAGCTAGGAGGACACCCCCAAGCTCTCCAAGTAGAGGAGACTTCTCCAGAACAAGCTTTCTCCTCACACAGGTCAGAAGGCACAAAGAGAAGTTTTCACGCCTTCTGAAAACCCACAGTGAAGCAATAAGAAAAGCTACAATTCAGACACTGAGCTCTACGTTTCCTCTAAATCAAATAAATTAATATCTTCTGTTACCCACAGGCTTCTTCAGATTACATTTTTCCAGATAACTCCTGCCTGATTTCCAACAGCACTTCAGAAATATCAAGAAAGTACTTGCTTTTGGAAACAAAACCAAGCTGCACTCATTGGCTGCTGTTTACTAGTGACATAGAGGGGATCACTACCATAATTAATTTCTGCTAACATTAAGTATGGCCACCTTTGATATACTTGGCCAGAACACATGTCAAAGATGAATCTCCTGTTCAAAAGTTGCCCTTTACAAAATGCTGATGTGAAAATGTGTTAAGAACCTGTAACTGCTCTATGCAGCATGTTTTAACAAGGCTACTAAAGTTTACACTGCTTATGTAAAAAAATGAGTGAAACAGTTTACAAGGTCCTAAGCAGACTGGAATGTGATCAAGATGACACAGCTCATGCTCATTCTTTACACCTGCCAACACAGTCAGGTGCTAAGAGATCCACCAGGGGATTTACTTTATCTCCTATCTTGCCATTCCTCTAAGGACTGCATTCATTCTCTGATTTCTAATATATGCATGATAACAAAAGATGTTATGAGAAAACATACTTTACAAACTATTAACTACAGTGCATGATAGCTATCAGAGAAAGAAGAACTTTCTTTAACAGTTTCTCAGTCTCCAGAGGTTCATGGCACGACCAAAGAAGTGGGGAGGCCTTGATGCTCTAATTAACAAAGTTTTCTACAGCGGCTCTCCAGAGGGTGAGAACACAACTCCAGCAGCACACAGGTTCCAAGCCCCAGAAAACATGGGGCAAGATTAGCAGCAGGGAATTTTATTATTATTATTATTATTAGTTCTACTAACCCGTGGTTATTTCTATAATTGAACCCACTTCTTAGAAAAGAGATAGTGAGCAGGAGAGCTGCCCACAAAGGCTACAGCAGCAAAACCGAGTTTTGTACAGATATCGGAAACAAGGCAGCCCGGGGTCACACAGATCTTAAAAACATCCCACTTCTGCACTGCACCTGAAGGAGACGGCAGTACTCGCTGCTCAGCGCCAGGTATCAGCCACTGCACGCAGCACCAACGCGCTGCAGCTTCGCAGAGCCCCGCCAGCACAGCCGGGCGCGGAGCTCCAACGGCAGCGCTGCAGCTGAGGAGCCGCTCTGCCGCCTCCTCTGCAGATTCTCCAGTTATTTCAGTCCTGCTTATCCAAACTGTCCCGGGACACTTACAGCGCAGAAATGACAGTCTTTCAGCGTCTTCTGATATCATTTTTCCTACTCAACTACACAACTTGATGCACCTAGAAGTCAAAACAAACGCTCAAATAACCCCAAAAAGGCAGGCGGCCACCTCCGAGCACGGCTTCGCGCACTCTTCAAGCTGAGCGTTATTCAGCAATAATTACAGGGCAGCAACTTGTGCCGGCTCCCCCGACCACGAGCCCCAGACAGAGCTCCCGCAGAGCCCGCGGTGCCACGCCCGGGGCTGCGGGCGACCAATGCGGCTGCGGACAAGCGGGGCGAAGCCACTCACCAGGCGGCTCCGAGAGCGCTGCAGGAATTCCTCCATGGCGCCGGTCGGCGGCACCCCGGACGGCACGGCACGGCACCGCACCGCACCGCACCACTCCTCGCCGCCAGCGCCGCACTCCCGCTCCGGTCCCGCGCTGCCGTCCACGCCCCGCGCCGCGCCCCGCCGCGCCCCGCCCGCCGCGGGCGGTGACGTCAGGCCGTGCCGCAAGCCCCGGGCCGGGAGGTGGGAGCCGCGGGTGGCCGTGCTGCGTGCCGTCGTTGCGCAGTGCTTAAGCCCTTTGCGCGCTTAAACAGCTCATTATCAAAATGACAGACGTCGGTACTTCGCCGCTGCGGTAAAAGCCTTTCTCGTCTCTGCTACCGCGGGCTCTCAGTGCAACAGGTGCGCGCTGGCGGCTCTCCCGCGGGCCCCTGCCTGCGGTCACCGTGTCGCTGCGGGGAGCGGGCCTCCGCCTCGGGAGCTCCCGGCCTTGATGCCTGCTGTCACAGCCCGCGCGTGTCCGACGGAGCGCACAGCAGTCCCGCAGCGCCCGCTCCCTGCAGAGCAGAAGTGCGGGGCGGGCTGCGGGAGGTCACACGGTGCGCGGGGGATGGGGCAAAGTGCAGGGTTCGGCTCCCCGAAGCCTCACGCCAGCGGTGCGCAGCAGCGTGATGCCTTTACCAACTGCGGGTAACCGACTGGTCGGTACAGGTTAATGGTTCCCTTCAAGTTGTGCCTCACTGTGAAGTTGGCGGGGACTTATTCTTAATACAGTCAGTAGCACGAGGTTTGAGGTTGTTTTCTCTCATGTATTATTTTATGGCTCATTGAAGGCATTTCTGTAAGAGCTGAGAGCTCCTGCTTCCTTATTAACACATTTTTCTGATGAGTGTAATTCACTCGCATTTGATTAGTTGATTCTTTCCTGACACTTTGCAGATCCTGTGCCTGAGTTGCCTTGTCATGGTCAATCTGTGCTTCTTCATCATATATTACAGTTCTGGAGAACAGGAAAAAAAAACAAAACCTGATCTGTACCATAAACACTGGAATCCAAATGGTACATCTAAATTGAGAGCAGAGTGGACTGAAGCACTGTGTGATTGACATAGAACAATATATGGTAAATGTTCTGCAGGAAAAAAAAGAATAATTTTACTACATTTACAGGAGCATTTATTTCACCTAAGCACATTACTTAATGATCCTATCCAAATTTGGACTTTCCCATTATTCTGTTGAAAGGCAGTTCTCGTGGCAGATCACAACTTTTGCACTGTTTTTAAAACAGAAACTGGAGCATTGCAGCACAGGGATTCCAGCATGTTTTGAGGTGCAGAACTGGTGTCAACTGAAAATGTTTTGCCAGATAAAAAATCAATACAGTCTTGTGAAATGAAGTAAGGATATGTTTTCCCTCAGCAAACTCTACAAAGCACATTAAAAAAAATAATAATAATAAAAAAACCAGCTTGCCACTCAGACCTCAGGAAACTGAGATCTGGCAAACTGATCCTTAAGCCAGTCATTTTTGCTGCATACATACTTAAAGAAAATACAGTAACAGAAGGCAAGCTCTGAGCAGCGAGTAGCTGGAGAATGAGAGGACGGAATTGCTGAACAGGCAGCAAAGTTGTGCTTTTACAAGTTATACCAATAAGCATACTTAACCCCTTATACTCTAAATAAGTTGTTTTGAGTAATTATTTCTGTGCACATCCAGTGAGTTGGTCTCTACGTGGTTATGGGCATAGTCAGTAACCACACTCTAATGTTAATATGAGTGGTCTTCCGGTGAGTTTGGGAGGATGTGGTGGGTTCTTTGTGATCCACAATCAGTGTCAGACTGAAGATGGCCCCAGTACAGTTATGTTGAAAGAAAGCAGGGTGTCTGAGCCTCTCTCTTGACAATCTGTATCTCTTAAATGGCACAGGCATAAAACAAAATGTAAAACAGACAGAAAAAGGGGAATGTTAATAAAATATACAGAATAATGGAATCATAGAATGACTTGGGTTGGAAGGGCCATCGAAGATTATCCAGTTACTTCTGAACAACTTATTGCCTCAATAATTATTGTTTCAATTCAGTATTTTATAATTATTCATATCCTGTTCTGCCAAAATATGATCAGAAAGTTAGTGTTTTTATCTGCTTCATAATTTATAGAAATTCCTTCACCTGGTTCTCCATTTTTCTAGTCAGTTAGCAGCCACTGAATTACTTCCGCTTTACTTAAGCTTAAATTACAGATGAAATGGGACCCATATTATGTTATTCTTTCTCAAAAACCCAGGCAAGAATTTATGCATGTTCTTCCAAGAGCTCTTCCTAAGAGGTGTTCTTCCATTTCTTTGTGAAACATAACTCCTTTTGAAATCAGTGGGGATTGTGTACATGTGCCAAAGGGAGATTTACTCCATATCTCATTCAGAAACTGAACCTATTAAAAAAAACAAATAACAAAAACAAACAAAAAAAGACATGCTCGTTGAGAAACACAGTATTTTCATTTGTTCTTTAGCGTGTTCACAATATCTCTGGACATGCTGAAGACAGCTAGCCTGGGACAATGAGTTCTTCTTTTGTACTGTGCAGAAATATAAATAATGTTTTCTGAGACAGAGCAGTCTGGAGTGAAACTTTCTCTGTTCACATAGCAAAGAAAAAGTTTAGTTTTTAATTTCAGCCATTACTGAGGAATAGAATCATAGAATCCTTAGAGCTGGAAGGGATCTTTAAGAGTCTTCTAGTCCAACTTCCCTGCAATGAGCAGGGAGATATACAGCTAGATCAGGTTGCCAAGATTTATTCGTTATATGTAAACTAAAGCTACTCTCTTTGAGCTTGAAACCATTTCACCTTGTTCTATCACCACAGACTCTGCTAAAGAGTCTGTACCTTTCTTTCCTTAGCTCCCCTTTATATACTGAAAGGCTGCTTTCAGGTCACCCTGGAGACTTCTTTTCTCTTCAGGCTGAACAGCCCTAGCTCTTTCAGCCTGTTATAGTAGGAAGATGTTTTATTCCATGGATCTTTTTTTTTGTCCCTCCTCTCGACACACTCCAACAGATCTATGTCTCTCCTGTTCTGAGGACTTTGCATCTCGATGCAGTACTCCAGATAAGGCCTCACCAGCACAGAGTAGAGGGGCAGGATCACCTCTCTTGACCTGTTCTTTTGCTTCTGCCATGCTTCTTTTGATGCAGCCTGGGATACAATTGGCTTTCTGGATTATGAGGGCATATTGCTGGCTTGAGAGGTAGAGTCTCTCCCAAGTGAATCTAATGAGGTCCAAAGTGCAAGGTTTTGCACTTGGGCTGGAGGAATCCCAGGCATGTATACAGACTGGAAGGAGCAGTCCTTGAGAGTAGCCCTGCAGAGAAGGACCTGCAGAGGAAGTACTTTACCATGAGAGTGGTGAGGTGCTGCAACAGGCTGCCCAGAGAGGTTGTGGATGCCCTGGTCCCTGTAGGTGTTCAAGGCCAGGTTGGATGGGGCCCTGGGCAGCCTGGTCTAGTATTAGATTTGGAGGTTGGTGGCCCCTCCTGCAGCAGGGGTGTTGGAGCTTGATGATCCTTGAGGTCCCCATCCCAAAACATTCAAGGTGTTCGAGGTGTTCAAATCCATATCTTTTCAATGTGGAGAGAAGAATTTTATGGAGTATTGTGTGACAGGCCTAACTGAAGTCCAGATAAATGACATCAGTGGCTCTTTCCTTGTTCACTGATGCAGTAATACCATCCTAAAAGGCCACTAGGTTGGTCAAGCAGGATTTATCCTTGATGTAGCCATGCTGCTTCTCCCATATCACTTCCCTGCTTTCCATGTACCTTAGCATAGCTTCCATGAAGATCTGCTCCATGTCTTCCCCAGCACAGAGGTGAGACTGACAGGTCAGTAGTTTGTGGGGTTGTTCTTTTTACCCTTTTTAAAAAATGAGTGTGATGTTGCCTTTTTTCCAGTCTCCAGGGACTTCACCTGACCACCATGACCTTTCAAATCTCATGAAGAGTAGCTTGGCAACTACATCAGACAATTCCCTCAAGACTCCTCACTGAGACCCATGGACTTGTAGATGTACAAGTTCCTCAGGTGGCCACAAACCTGATCTTTGCTTGTAGTGGGAGTGACATTGCTTCTCTGGTCCACTCCTACCAAACCAAATATTTGAGGACTGTGTGGTATGCAGTTATCAGCGAAGACATAGACAAAGAAGCACGATTTCTCCATATACAACTTAAAAAAAAAAAAAAAAGGCTGCAGTGATTATGAAGGAAGGGAGTATGTTAGACTACAGGATATTTTAGAACCATTATAATATAGGAAAAGCAACTTCATCACATGAAAATATATCCTAGTAAGGCCTTACACCCTGTAAATACTGTGCAGTACTAAGGAGGCTGTGTCTCGCGTAGGCTTTTATGATCTTCTATAGTTTCATATCAAATTTATTTATTCTCCAGGCATAGAAAGAAATGAGTTTAGCTCTGTACAGGAGAAAAACAAAAATGGAAATTACCCAAAACCTGTATCTGAATTCTATGGCTCACCCTTATGGTTTAGTGAGTAATGTAAGAGCTGCCAGTGGTTTTGCATTTCTATTGTAAGTGCTACTCATGATAAGCATTTGAATAGCATATTAGCAACAATTTTCTTGACAAATAATGTTGAGGTTCCTATTGCAAGAGTTTCTATACTACTACAGAGGGAGTAAACAATTTCTGCCCCTCAGAATTAAAATGTTGTATAATCATTTAAATATAAGAGAGAGAAAAAATGAGCAGCTAGTACATGACTTCGCTACTGTAAGTATACAGTTAGAAAAGGGTATTATAAAATTACTTGAAAGTAAAAATCTGATTTCACAAAAGGAATAATTCTCCAGATAACCATTCCAATAAACAAAGGGCAAAACTGCTTATAGGAGCAGTAGTGCAAAGCGTTGATAGTGGCACTCAAGCCTTATCGTTTTCAGAGGTTCTATAGGATTCCATATAAATCCATACAAGCTACATTTTTTCCTGTTTCTCAACAGAATGTATACTTAATCAACAGCAAGCCAGTCTTCTGTAT